ACTGTTTCTTTTTATGTTCGTACTGTGTTTGCTTTTTTTCTTCATTGATTTGCTAAGGTTTACATTCAATTTTAATGTTTATTGTGGTTATTTTTAAATTGTGCATAAAAATTTTTGTAATCCATATTTCTATAATAGATGTCTTTTTCCCCTTCCTATATGTAAAATAAAGAATTTTGTATACTACTTTTATTCCATTGCTTTTTGTATAGTTAGTTGGATAATATCTGTGGTTTTGGACGCTGGTTATTTATATTATTTAGATCTGTCTCTATTTAACTGTTTTTAGTGGTTTTCACAGATCTTTTATATGATGCCTTTTCCATTTTTAAGGTTCTAATTTTGATTTGTGGGAGTTCAGCTAGATTATTAAGTTCTCTGAGGGAGGTTACATAGAATCTTATTTTCTAGCCCTCATAGTAATATATTTGCAGGCCTTCAGACATTTTTAAAAAATTGAGTATAAGATTTTTGATTCAGGGTTTCTCTCTTAAAACTGAACATTTAATCTTGCGAAGAAACCCAAAGTTGCATTTTTGCCTTTAGGTTATTTAGTGTGCCTCGTATGGTTTTAGAAATTGTGTTTTATCCATGTAATTAAGATTTGCCAAAGACTTTTCAAGATATAATACTGCCTTCAGTGATTATTGCTGGACATTTAGTTGACTTTTCATTAAGAAAGTTTTCTTCAGCTTTGTCTTGACCTATTGATTCTTTCCATTTCTTGTTTTATCCTTAGGAACAGCTGTATTTCTCTGTCCTATAGTATCATTTTGGTCTGACCTCTATCTACTTCAACGATAAGACACCTTCATGTATTCTACTGATACTAAATAGTTTTCTGAAATTTTATGAGTCCTATTTTTAGATGACTTTCTTCTCTGAATCATCAGAATGCTATTCCCAAGGAATGTTGGCCAAAAGACAATGTATGTAAATTGTCCATGGTCTCACATTTTTCTCAACTCAGTCATCTTTAATTTACAGCTGTAAAGGTTCTTACATATCATTCTTAGCTCAGTTTCCAGGGTCTTTAATGGGGTTTTCTTCTTCATTACCTGGTTGTGTGCTATTTTGAACAGGTGAGCATCTAGAAGAACAATAGCCTCAGATTTTGATGCTCACTTCTAATTTGAGGTCCTTACCATCTGACCCATAGACACTGTTTTACATGGGTTACCCTTTTTCTTTCTCCCCTTCCCTCCCTTCTCCTCCCCTCNCTCTCTTCCCCTTCTACTCTCTGAAAAGCAATGGAAAAAATATCCTCGGGTGAGAATTTAAAAAAAGAAAAAAATGCCAACAATGTTTTTTAGGAGAACAGAAAAATCCATCCTAACCTTTATATGGAATCTCAAGAGACCTGAATTGCTAAAACAATCTTTAAAAATAAGAACAAAGTTGGATGTTCCACACTTCCTGACTTCAAAACTTACTGCAAAGCTACAGTAATTGAATCAGTGTGGTAAAGCGGATAAAGGCAGAAATATAGACCAATATAATACAGAGCTCAGAACCTTGAGGATATCATGCTAACTAAAATAAGCTAGTTGGGGGAAAACACACAAAAAACAAGTTCTATATGATTCCACTTCTATGAGATGTAAGAGTCAAATTCATAGAATGGTGGTTGTCAGGGGCTAGGGATGGGGGAAATGGAGAGTTGTTGTTTAATAAATAGAGTTTCAGTTTTACAAGATAAAAAGGTTGTGGCGATCCATTGTACAACAATGTGAATACACTTAACACTACTGAACTGCATATTTTAAAATGGTTAAGATGGAAATTTCTGTGTTATATGGTTTTTATAATTAAAACAAAAACAATAGAGAGCCCATAAATAAATCTGTGCATATATGTCAAATGATTTTTGAAAAGGGTGCCAAGACTATTTCATATGGGAAAGGACAGTCATTTCAACAAATAGTGGGGGGGAAAACTGAATATCCACATGCAAAAGAATGAAGTTGGACCCATACCTTACACCACATACAAATGGATCATAAATCTAAACATAAGAGTTAAAACTATAAAACTCTTAGAAGAAAACTTAGGGGGAAAGCATGACGTTGGATTTGACACCAAAGGAACAAGCAACAAAGGAGAAATTAGATAAACTGGATACTTCCTTAAAACTAAAAACTTTTTATATCAAAGGGCACTATCAAGAGAGTGAAAAAGCAACCCAAAGAATGGGAGAAAATATTTGCAAATCATTTATCTGATGAGGATTTAATATCCAGAATATATAAATAACTTCTACAACTTGACAACAAAACAACCCAATTAAAAAACTGGCAAAGGAGTTGAACAAAAATCTCTAAAGATAACAAATGGCCAATAAGCACATGAAAAGCTGCTCAATGTCACCAGTCATTAGGCAAAAATAAACCCAAACCACAATGAGATACCATATTATACCCATTAGGATGGCTATTATTTAAAAAACCAAGAACCAGAAAATAACAAGTGTTGGTGTGGAAAATAGTATGGTAGTTCCTAAAAAATTAAAAATAAAATTATAATATGATTCAGCAATTCCACTTCTAGGTGTACACCTAAAAGAACTGAAAGAATGAACTTCAAAAACCCATATTCATAGCAGCATTTTTCTGTTTCTTTTCTTTCTCCCTTCTTCCCTCCTTCCTTCCTTTCCTTGATGCAGTTCTCTGCTACTTCTTGCCAAGTTATCTTCTGGGAATTTAGTCTAACTAGATTAAGAAACAAAGTAGTCATGAAGTGAAAGGGGCAACAGAAAATACTACTGGCTGCTGTCTCTAAAAACAGCACCCATACAGTAGAAACACAACTGCATGGTTTTCTGGTAGTACATTTCTGAGCCAGAAGAAAATAGTGAAAAGAGGGGCTAAGGATCTTCATATTGCATATGGCTTGTTCTCTCTCACAGGGTAACTGGTGGGTACTTTTTATTTCTGTCCCATTGGCTTGCAGTAGCTCAATTTTTTTCAAACAATACTTATTGAGTTCTCTTATTACATGCCAGGTACTTTGCCTAGGTACTGTTTACATATAATGTTGAACAGAACAGTGTTTATTCTTTCATTGATGGCAGAAATAGTTTCTGGACTTTGTCAGTAATACATTTTGGTGATGTTTTTATTCCTCTGTTCTTTTTTTTTTTCCTTTTAATTTTTAGTTGTTGATGAGAGAAAGAGAAACATTGATTCGATGTCCACCCATTATGCATTCAGTGGTTGATTCTTGTAAGTGCCCCTCCTGGGGAATGAGCCCACAACCTTGGCACATTGGGAAATGCTTTAACCAACTGACCTACCCGGCCAGGGCTGTTCTTTTTTTTTCCTTAAATATTTTCTGACAAGTTGATCAGCCTCTATTAATAAGTAGTATAGACACCACTTTAAATTCTTTCTCCATATGCATTTTTTAAGTTGCTCTGGATCCAGGAAATAATTTTTATGAATACAGTGTTCACTATCCTGACCTTAAAGTATTACTTCTCTAAAGCCTCTTATCACAATTTGCTATTATCCTTACCTTCTTAAATTTTCTTAACTGCCTTAGATGAATAAAATTATCATATCAACAGAATTGTCATGTTTTATATGATGATAACCTCAGCAAGTGTTTTGGCATGACAGCTTTTTAGCTTAGCTTAGAGTTTTCATTCTGAGATTCATGTCTGTTTGAAATGCAAGTTATAAAGCTGCATTAGGTGAGAATACGTGAAGAGCTTGGTCAGTTTTTAAGTTATTATCTGGCACTTACTATTAAAAATAAAATTTAAGGGATTTGATTTTTCTTACCACTTTGTACTTACGGAAACAGGTACTGTTTGTATGATTCTTGTACTTAGAGAAAACTTATTATAGAATTATTTATACTTAATACTTCCAGTAAATGTTAATGAGCATTTAAACAAACCCCCCCCCCCCAAAAAAAAACCCACAAAGAATTTAGCATATAGACAAAAAGCACAAAGTACAACTAAACCTATAAGTGGGAAATGTAATGAGTAAGGAATGTTTAATTTTAGTGAGTAAACCTATAAGAGCAATATGGAATTTTGAGATAATTTGGAAAGCCAACATGTTATATAATTTCTAACAGAGTTAAATGTCAAGGAAAGGGAACTTTAAGCAAAACTGGACCAGCAGTTATATCACATCTCATTTTTTTAATTTCCTAGACTGCCCTGTATTAAGAAAAAAAAAAAGTTTGCTATTTGCAGAATTACATTTATAAGATTCTAGTCACCTTGAGGGTAAGGACTATATGTAAATTACTTTGTGCCACAGAATATTATAGTAAAAGAGGTTTGTTGCTTTTGATGAAGATAGAATCCATAGGGAGAAACAGAGTATCTTCCTTAGCCTATAATAAGATTAATAATAATATTTGTTTTAAAGGTAGTGGTCAGGATTTGGAAGTATTTTCATCTTAGCTATACCAGTGTAAACCAGTTTGTTCACACCCGGGGTTTACTGTGTTAAATTTCTCTGTTTTATAGGGGGAGGGGAACAACTTCATCAGGTGAAGCATAGAGTATGTTGTTCACAGCTCTTTCACCTAGGGATTAGAAGTCTTTTGTCCCCTCCCCCACTGTACCTACTATCCCAGAGAGATCCCATAGCTCTAATGTTCATGCTGTCTTTAGCTGAAAATCAAGCTCAGAGAATTTGCTGTTCGTGTTCATCCTTCAGTTAATCATGCTAGTCTGACAGCATTTTACATTCACATTGTGGTAAGAAACATGGCTAATTGGTGCATTACAGGAGTGGAGGTAGATTACCATTGCTGAAAGATGTAAGCCTTATGTTCATTGGACACTTGCCTTAGTACCAAGTTTGATCTTTTTCTACAGGTTTTGAGAATCCAAACTTGTTTTGATTATTGGTATTGTACCTGAATAAAAGATACTTGACATATTTTCCCAAAATTCTTAAAGCCAATCACGTTGTAACTTTAATTTTAAACTCATAAACTCTGTGTATTTATAAAATAATTGATATGCTTGTTTCTAGGGGCCACCTACAGATGCTCCTGCAGTGGACACAGCAGAACAAGTCTATATCTCTTCCCTGGCACTGTTAAAAGTAAGTATTGAATGGAGTAATTTGCTTTAAGAGAGCTCTGTTGCTCTCACTGCATCTTTTACTTTGACATATTTGTCACCTTAACCGTCTCAGGCATAAGCTATTGTTTTAGCTACATCAGTAAAGTAGAGTGTTTTATTTCCACTGAAACAAAATTAGGTTCTTAGTTTTTTAAAAAAACGACAAAGACCTCAAAGCTTTGTGTCCACATACCTTATTCTTACAGATGTTAAAACATGGTCGTGCTGGAGTTCCAATGGAAGTTATGGGTCTAATGCTTGGAGAATTTGTTGACGATTACACCGTCAGAGTGATTGATGTGTTTGCTATGCCACAGTCTGGAACAGTGAGTACTTTCATGGTTGCCTGCTGCAAGTAAATGTGTTTCTTTTCTCGTTACTTTTCCTATGCAAAATAACATTCGTCATATTACATTTTCTCGTCCTGATAGAGAAAATTCATCATAAGAGTAATGATGGAAATATCTAGATTGTATTGAATTAAATTATTTATGTTTTAAGTGCATCATTCCCTGTAGGTTCACAAACTGAATGATGCTAACATTAAATCCCTTTACTCATACCTTCAGCTTAAACTAGCATAGCATACTGGGTGTATAAATTAGTTAACCCTAAAATAGTAGGATATTAGTTTGATTACTTTGAATAGTTGGTTCAAAAGATTTCAGACTCTTAATTAGATTTTAATTTACATATAATTTAGTCCGCATGTTTTGTTCCCATTGTTTTGAAATATGACCCTTTTTAAAAATGTTCCATATATGGTGATAAATGACTCTTAAGATTCTCCTTTTTAAAATGTGAAGTTAAAACAACAACAACAAAAAACAACTATGGCAAACTTTAGTGTTTTTGCCCAGGCATGGTAATTTATTTATAGAAGATACATACTTCATGCAGATTTTGAAAGTTAGCTACTCTCCCTGTTCTGAATTATTGTTCTTTCTGGAACAATGCTTTGTTTTTTCTGTTTTGTTTAATGCCCTGGACTTCTGTAGATAGGTGTCTATTTCAGTTTAAAGAAAATGGCCAAAAGATAATAACCATCCTACCTACCTTCCAAAAAACAACATACATACCCTTCTCATCTGTTTACCTAGAAAAATATAATATATATATTTTTACGATGGATGTTTTTTCTCTAATGTTCAGTCTTTTCTTATTGAGCCTTATGAAATATCTGGGTTAAAGAAATTGTTTTCATTAAACTGTTCTGTTTGAGGCTCTTTACCACAAGTATGTTTTGATAAAGTAGATGCTAGAGAAAACAATTTTTAAAAAACAAACACATGTTTTTATTGAATTTAGAGAGAAAGGAAGGGAGAGGGATAGAGAGAGAGAAATATCAATGAAAGAGAAACGCTGATCGGCTGCCTCCTGTGTGCCCCCTACTGGGGATCGAGCCCAAAATCTGGGCATGTGCCCTTACCTGGAATCTACCCGGTGACCTCTTGGTTCATGGATTGATGCTCAACCAACTGAGCAACACTGGCCTGGCACAAATTTTGTTTTTAAATGTTGCAATATATATGTGTATGTGTATAATAAGCATTTTAAATGGAGTAATTGCTACAGAATGCAGTTTATTTGTAAATAATGCAAAATAATAGGAAAATATGCAATGAAATAATTTAGATCTGCTGATTTTGTCCTTATGATCCATTATGTTTATTTTGTACATTGGACATAGAGAAATGTACTACATATTAACTAAAGATTTAGATTTGAATATTAGGCAATTATTTGTATCTATCTTTTCATGTCAGAATATATAAAACACATAAAGTTAACTTTTTTCTGTTACATGCGATTCTTATATGCTTATTCATTATAATAAAGGGATCATAAGCTTTAATATTCTGTATAAATGCTTGTTTGACAATATAAAGTAGAAGGTTTTGGTCCCCATGTTTACTCTATGCTGAATTTAAGTTTTTCTTCTGGTCCAAGAGTTAGCAGAGACTTTTTTGTAAAGACATGTGTCTCAGTCTCATATTTTTGTGGGGTTTTTTTTTGTTGTTGTTATTTTTTTAACAATCCTTTAAAAAATGTAAAAAAGCCTTTCTTAGCCTGTGGGCAGCAGATTGCATATCCCTGTTCTTGAGTATGCACTGTCTGTTAGAATTCAAAATACTATTTGTTTTGTTGGGAAGGAAGCACTTAAGTTAACTGGTTTGTTTAAGTAGATTAGACTTATATTCCTGATGTTAGAAGAAAGCCTTTTGGGAGCTATAATGGCAATGATCTATCGTTGAAGAGATGATATGAATGCCTGTGATAGTTCCATGTTGTAAAATCTTTTGGTTGAACTAGCAGAATAATGGAACGTTTAAAAGACTTGGTTATAGGTTGTCTCTAGTGGTGAATTTCTGTGTGAATGCTTTTATATTTGAAGTAATATTCAAAAGTATATATTTCCCCCATCCATCTAATCTACTAAGTTGTCCTAACTGAAGCACTCAACTTCCTCTTCTTCCAACCCACCCACCCACTCACTGCAAAAACAACTGGGAAACTAATAAATTACTTTCATTACTTTCTTTCTTCAAAGTATTTACATTACTAGAATAAAAGTTGAAACTGTTGATTATTATAATAGCCAAATAGTTGTAGAACTTTGGGTGAGGTGCTTATAAGTTACCAAAGGATGGCATTAGTAAGTATGCTTCCTAGATAGGTCTAACCAAAAAATCGTTAATTTGATTATTTGGTATTTCGGATACACACATACATATATACATATACATATATACATACATAGCCATGGCCATAAACTCTTAAAGGATCTTGAAAATTGTCTTAACTCATTAGCTGACAGCAGTTTGGTAGTTGGCAATTCTAGAAGATTTATTGATACATGGTTTATAATTGAATGACAAGAGTGGGTATCAAAACCTATAAAATTATTTTGGTATCTCAAAATAATATACCTAGGTTTTCTTGGGTAGCTGTTTGTTCATTTACATTGTAATATAAGGTTTTTTTCATAGTTATAAAATCTAATTATTTTTCTTTCTTTTTAAACCAGGGTGTCAGTGTGGAGGCAGTTGACCCAGTATTCCAAGCCAAAATGTTGGATATGCTGAAGCAGACTGGAAGGTAAGTATTTTAAATGATCACATAAAAGGATAATGGAAAATATTTTCAAAAATGTATCTCAAAATTTTGGATATTTGTGAATATTATTCCTAGCAAAAAAAGCCATGTAGTTAATGCAAAAGTATCATTGTCAGTACTAGGCACTGTCTATCTAGTCTCTCTTCCATCTAGAATCAAAGAAATTTCCCAATCAGAAAACTGCTTCATGTTAAAATTCCCAACCGTCACATAGTATAGTTTGCGCTATAGCTTCCCTCTGTTTAGCATATGGAGTTACTCTCTAATCACTTATAATTGAAAGATATTTTATGTTCCATGTATTTTAGAGTTTCAGTTGAGTAAGATTCCAAATATTTCATTGTATTTGTAGGCATATGAGTTTTAAAGACAGGGCAAATAGAATCCAAGTATTATTTGAGCCCCCCTAGATTAAACCTCTCAATAGTTGTCATTCTCTTGCTCAAATTCTTCTACTGTGGAGAAAACTTCAAAATTAATGTTAGCAAAAGGCTCAGCAGCTGAGCAGAACAGTGCAAATTGGTTTTTGACTGAGTTCCTAGTTCTACTGCTGGTTTAATTGATATTTAATCCTTTCACAACAGTGGATCCTGGTGTCCATTGTTAAAAATATACTCTGCCTGTAACTCCCAGAGCTAAGGAGTTAAAGAGTAGATATTTACTTGAATGCTGAAAGGGTAAAAACTGGCTCTGAGAAAGTGTGGTAACAAGGTGAAAAACTGAAAGCCTTATCTACCACTGCTAATGTGCATCTCTTAATGATAGCACTCCTTTATCACACTTATTCATTTCCATGTTTTCTGGATAATATGGTGTATGATTTCAGTGTTTCTAATGGTGCTTTTTCACACCTGTGTGTTTATCATCTCTTCTTAATTTATACCCTGTTAGTGTGCTGTTTCTTTTCATAAATGTATTACTTGTTCTGTTCTGAACAGCTGAATGCCCTCTTTGTTTCAGGCCGGAGATGGTTGTTGGTTGGTATCACAGTCACCCTGGCTTTGGTTGTTGGCTTTCTGGTGTGGATATCAACACTCAGCAGAGCTTTGAAGCCTTGTCGGAGAGAGCTGTGGCAGTGGTTGTGGATCCCATTCAGAGTGTAAAAGGAAAGGTAGAGTAGATTCTGTCTTTATTAGCATCTACTGCCACATTCTGTTTGCAGCTACATTAAATAAAAATCTATTTTCTTTAAAGCAGAATTCTTAATTACACAAAACCTCCGGACTGTTTGCTTAAAAAAAACACACACACGACTGTACACATTGATAAATGTGTCTTGGTGTTAGTTAGAGATATGTTTCTACTTAAATCAGCTATTGTTTAATCATAAATGTTTATCTTTAAATTTTTTCTTATTTCATAGATTCAAGAATGTTAAAACATACTAAAAGCCTGCTGTACACATTTCATTAATATTTTAATAAACATTACCCTACCTTTCTTTATTTTAAAATGGAGAATTTGGGATTGGCACATTTTAAAAATCTAGTTAAAGAGCTCTGTTTTGCAGACGTAGTACAGGACATATTCTGGAGTCGTATGTTCCAAATATTTTAGACAATGAAAACTTGCCCCAAAGATTTGTTATCAGTCATTCGCATTTTTGGAGTGAGGACACAGATGAATGATTAAATATGCTAAGTGATTCTGAAAAGAGATTAACTTGCAAAGCATATTGGGTTATAGTTGTTCTTTGTTGAAATCTTTTGTTCTTGTTTAGTTCTTTTTTTTTCTTTTTTGTTCGTTTGTTCGTTCTTTCTTTTCTTTTTTTTTATTTCTTTCTTTCTAGCCCCATATGCCATTTTCCTATTTCCTGCCTCATGACAGCAGGGAGCAGCTCTATTATCACCTTCACAGAGCTGTCTGCAAATGTGAGAGGCAATTCGATTTTGCTCAACCACAGGGAGAGTGGATTAGAAAAACTACAGAACATACAGAAATTGGCTAGGTGGTTACTGCTTTAAAATACTGCTGAGGTGTCTTGTTTGAGCATGTACTTCCATTGTAGTGTAGAATAATTGTTAAAATAAAATCACAATACATTTATGGAGTCCTTTTTTTGCAGCTTTTACATATTATTTTTAGAGCACTTAAAAGTAAATATTAGTTTGCTATCTATCAGACCTGGAGTTTGATAGTACGCAGATTACATTAACATCTGCTCACCAGCTCAAATAAACTAAATCTGGCTGTTAAAACTTGGAGTTTTTATCTGTCATGAATTTGAAGTTAAACACTTACTGACATCATATTATCATGATGAATAAAAATTGAGGTCTTCTCTAAATCATGATCCTATTAGATGTGATTTAGTTTTTCAGAAGCAAAAACTAGCCACAAAAACAATAATAGCTGATATACTAGGCAATTCAGAATAGATAACTTCTGATGCTTGCTATATACCTGTATTTGAATTTATTTATTTATTTTTTTTACTAACTGTATTGTTACTTAAGTTATATAGATAAAAATTGAAAATCCTTGATTTTTGTTTTTAGTTTTCTGAATTAAAATACAGTATAATACTACTTAAGTTTAATTCTCTGATAAGTAATGTACCTTTTTAGTAACTCATATAAGTAATGATTCTTATTTTAGAAATATAACAGTAGAATTATCCAATTAAGTTTCCCTTCCACAATATTTACAAATAATAATTAAAGCTTAATTTTAAATGTAATTAGAGTTTTACCTTGGATTAGTGTGACAGATTTTTTTTTTTATGATACTTGGTTCATGTGATGGTAGCCCCTTGGAAAAGGAAAATACAAGAATTACAATAAAAGAAAGCATTCTCAAAATAGAATATAAATAAATGAATATGTATTTAATTTTTTGTTATCTTGTGTATAGTTTTTTTAAATGGCAATTTTAGTTTCCAAATCTAGGTTTAAGTATTATACAATATTGGAATTTGCATTGTTTGTTTATAATTAGTCATAGTCCATATTGAAAGAATGGGTTGCATTTAAAAATTCACTTGTATCACATGAATGCTTTCATGTGGTAAAATACAGTATTTTAAAACTATATATACCTAAAATTATGAAATCACAAGTATTACTGTCTAATTTTATGTCATAAAATATTTTTGAAAAATTTTAGTATTAATATAAATATGTTTCATTGATCATTCACATACCTGACATATAAATTTTTACAATTATATTACCCAAAATAAGGATCTAGTTCTTTGTTAATTATGTAACTTCATCTATGAGGTTCTGAGTATTGTTATATTTTATGATTCTCAGTGTCAAGACCTCTCAAAACTATGAACCAAATTAAATGCTAGTACATTCATCGCCAGTGTTCCTAGTAAAAGCTTTAAGCTTAAGAATATAAACTTGTAAAAATTGAATAGCATAGGACTCTGCCTTCCTCTTCCTTGCACTTGCTTTCTCAAACTGTCAAAATATTTAGTAAAGCAATGAGTAAATCAAGAGTTAAAAATGGCAATCTATATGTAAATGAGTTAAATTGGGTCTCTGTTCACTAAATACCTCTTTCCTGTATATTTTTATATTTTCATTTTTATAAATCCCATTATTATCTCTCTGTTTTTGAGTGATAATCGTGGATTCTTTTTTTGTAATCACAATAATCTGTTATTTCTTTTTATGTGACTTGACTGTATCTTTGGAATTACTGCTGTGTGCTAAGTATTGTGCTAGTTATTTTAACTTGTCTAACTTATTCTTTCCAGTAATTCTATAGTTAGGCATTATTATTATTCTATTTTATCAATGAGAGGGCAAAACAATTAGAGTCAAAGAGAGTACTTTGCCCAAAGCACACCATTATTAAGAAGCAGAACAAGGGTGCAAATCTAAATTTATAAAATTTCAGAGCTCAAGCTGTTTTACTGACTCTTTAAAATTAGGCAATTATGAATGATAAACTAGAGTAACTCAGGTCATCACAGTAGCAGAGGACCAGAAGTCATCTTGGGGCCTTAACTTATATGGATAGGACTTACTTATATGGAGAGGTATCACTTCAGCATAAGTCAGGGGAGGAAACTACACATTTTCTCATAAGTTTTCAGTAGTTCTGTATACTACTTATAGTAGGTATTATGTATTAATTTTTTTCTCCTGTAGTATTTGTTCTATTAATGTTTAAAAACAATTTAGACTCATCCCTGTCAGCTTTTGTGACATACTGAGGACAGACATTGAGACCAACATAAATAATAAAATATACAATATGATAAAGAATCTATGTCACTCATATATTATGTAATCCTGTAAATGTTTTAAAATGATGTAGGTGCAAATCAATGATAATAACATTCATAATTTAAAAGGAGAGTTCGCTCACAGAAATTATCAGTGAGCTCTACTCTAAACTTACCAGTGATGTAGTTTTTATGATTCTGTTTTAGTTTATTTGTAAAACACACATATTCAAATATTTTAAACCTCAGTTCTGAAGTGGGACAGTGGCACCCTTTTGCTTAATGTTTTGTTATCTTGTATATTCAGCCCACAACTTGGACTTGATTCAGCAGTAAATTTAGAAGTTAATTCCACTTAAAATAGGACTAGTTCTTCCACAGGGCAAAAAAAGATCACTCTGTGTATCATAAAACTAGCATACAACTATTTACAACTTTTGAGAACTCATTTTCTTGTCAAGATTCCTGTCAGTAAAATGTTCAGATGTTAGCTGCTAACTCCTAACAAACTCTGTTTTCTATTTTGAAAACATAAAAAAAAACCCCACAAAAACCACTAATAACCTTTTAGTCCAAATCTTGATTTTTCTTGAAAATGTTTTATTTAATTCAATCAGGAATATTCTTCTTTTTTTAAGGGGAAATAAACATGAATAGTAAAACTATATATAAAATAATATCCAAACACGCTTTCTTGGAGCATTTCACACTTCAGTAGATATTTATTCTGCACCATATTATGTGTGCCAGGTACTCTGCTGGGAAATGGATATTCAATGGTGATTAAGACTCAAACCTTGCTGTCAAGTAACTGAATCTAATAGTAGTTTTTTCTTGCTTTTGTGTTAGGATAACTGTTACATCAAATAGCTTGGTGATGAAGAGTACTGCCTTTGGCATGCTGTGTATGTAACAAATCATAGTAGTATCATTTACTGTTTGTGTCATCGCATTTAATGTATTCAGGTCCTGTGATTTTTCAGTTTCCTCATCCATAAATTGAGAATATTCATACCTCATAGTTGTTGAGAGGGTTAGACAAGGTAATTTTTATACCGTCATTTAATTAATAAGCCCAATAAAAATATGTAAAAGTGATACATAAAAAAGTAATTGACCTTTACATATTTTTCCTTGATAATGACCTTGCCTTTTGAGAGATGGCTGTTTGAGGGATATATTTGCATTTTCTTTGCAGGTAATGTTAAAGCACAACAAATGTATGTAAGTCCTTTATTCCTCTCATTCACCCTCCCTACCACTTTGCTGACATAGTCAGGCCCCAGCCTTTAGTCTCTAGAGCCTTTTATTCCTTTACTTATGTGGAACTGTCAATAAGCATACCAGTTGTCTTGCTTTAGTTTGTCTACTAGAAAGGAATGTGGGCTCTCTACATTTTATATAGCCACCAGATAGAATTGATGCTCTGTTTATCAGACCAGTGACCCAGAGATGATAGTCTCTTGTAGCTCATTAATAGTTCCTTGAGGAGATCAGCTTTTAAGTTCACTGTGTATTTGTCACATACCTGTCTTGCAGGAGCATCAAAATTCTAGGCCTATTGTCATTTTTAAAAAGAGATAATATTCAATATAACTGTATGCGATTTTTATTTTAATTAGGAATTTTCCTAAAGAAATATATGCCCTTAAATGTCTCTCCCTAATTTCCTTTTGCCAAGTGTTTGTGGATGTCAAATTTATAATTCTGATTTGGTTTTGGGGGTAGCTTTTTTTTCTAACTTTAACACTGTATTAATAGCAGTCCTTTGCTTTGTTTACTGTGTCACTTTGGGTGCTCCAAGAAGCAGATGCCAAAATAGGATTAGATATGCAAGAGATGACTGAGGGCATTGCCTGTGATGGATAAAGGGAGACCCTTCAGACAGCAGTGCAGGTTTAATCCTGTGGAAGAGAAAGGAAAGGTAGGAC